TTCGGAGAAATCAGGCGCGTCCGCCTGTTTCATTCAGATGTCTGAACTCGGTCTGATACTCGAGCTAGATTCGCGAAATTATTTGTATTGTTCGAGTGATCTTGAGAGGTGCTGTCGATTCTCGCAGAAGGAGAGCTACGAAGCTCGTGCGCACAGAAAACGATCCAGAAGCATGAGGGGCGTTTGGCTGTTGCATCGAGAGGTCTGAAATCGTTTAGGCTGAAGAACTATTCGTTCTCTGCAATTTTTTTCGACATTACATATGCTCAGGAAGCTCTACGAGTCCCCCGGCGGTAAGGAAGGTTGACGGTTTACCGCCGGCGCCCAGTTGGTCGACCCGACCAGAAAGGACAAAGTGGTGACTTTGGGTCCGTTTTGCTCAGATTTGAAAGATATTTGACAATTCATTTTGAGAAAGCAGATTTTTACGCCGAGCATTGGCATATGAACTTTGTTCCCTGAGCAGCTCAGCTCTCTGGAGCCAGTTTTAGTTTCAGTTGACTTCCGGGAACCGCCTGCATCTTCACTCCGAAAATCTCAATTTGACGTTTTTCTAGAAAAGCTGCAAGAAGCTCTCCGCTTCGATCCTGAGCTTTCTTACGGGTGCAAGGAGCTCTACGAGGTTCCCGGCGGCGACCAGGTTGACGGTTCACCGCCGGCGCCAGTCAGGAAAGATTTCCTGTCCCGGAAGGTGTCTTCGCTCTCCGGGTTTTGGGCGCTACCAAGTAACTCGTAGAGCTTCCCTTAGCTAGTTGCTGGAAGCTTAAGAGTAATTCCGGCGCGCTGGAGAGCTAGTTGGCAAGAAAAATCTCGACGGACCTTTTGCTGACTTTTGGTCGGTTGAAAATTTTGTTCTCGAAATTCAACACTTCGTTTGAGCTCTAGTATTTTTTCTGACCATATTCGATCTTATTCCCGCTCGCCGTCTTAATCTCAGCTCGATCGGGTAAATATTTCTGCAAAAAAGCGTCGCGGCGGGATCGGCCGTTTCGAGTCATCTTGATACGCGTTGTCGGTATTTTGTACTTAACTCGAGCTGTAGGGCATCTACAGAGCTCATTCTCACAGAAACCGATTGCAAATCATCAGACGCGTTCGTCTGTTCCATCTAGAGGTCTGAACTCGGTCTGCTGGCCGAGCTAGGTTCGCAAAACTATTCGTATTGTTCGAGTCATCTTGACATGTGCTGTCAGTTTTCTGCATTTAATTCGGGCTGTAGGGGGGCTACAGGGCTCGTACTCACAGGAATCAATTTGGAGACGTCAGGCGCGTCCGCCTGCCAAATCGAGATCTCAGAACTCGGTGTGCTGCCCGAGCTAGGTCTGCGAACTATTCGTATTCTTCGAGTCATCTTGAGAGGTGCTGTCCGTTTTCTGCACTTAACTCGAGCTGTAAGGGGGCTGCAGGGCTGGTAATCACTGGAATCGATTCGGAGACATCAGTCGCGTCCGCCTGTCGCATTCAGAGCTCTGAACTCGGTCTGCTGCCTGAGCGAGATCTGCGAAAGTATTCGTATTGTGCGAGTCGTCTTCGGAGGTGCTCTCGGTTTTCTGCACTTAACTCGGGCTGTAAGGGGCCTGCAGGGCTGGTAATCACAGGCATCGATTCGGAGACATCAGGCGCGTCCGCCTGTTGCACTGAGAGGTCTGAACTCGGTCTGATACTCGAGCTAGGTTTGCCAAACTATTCGTATTGTTCGAGTGATCTTGAGAGGTGCTGTCGGTTTTCGCACGTAACTGGGGCTGTAGGAGAGCTACGGAGCTCGTGCGCACAGGAAACGATCCAGAAGCATGAGGGGCGTTTGGCTGTTGCATCGAGAGGTTTGAAATCGCTTAGGCTGAAAAACTATTCGTTCTCTGCAATTTTATCGACATTATATATGGTCAGGAAGCTCTACGAGTCCCCCGGCGGTAAGAAAGGTTGACGGTTTACCGCCGGCACCCAGTGGACGCTACCAAGTAACTCGCAGAGCTTTCCTCAGCAAGTTATTGCTGGAAGCTTAAGAGTAATTCCGGGGCGCTGGAGAGCTGGTTGGCAAGAAAAATCTTGAAGCTAGTTGCTGGAAGCTTAAGAGTAATTCCGGCGCGCTGGAGAGCTAGTTGGCAAGAAAAATCTCGACGGACCTTTTGCTGACTTTTGGTCGGTTGAAAATTTTGTTCTCGAAATTCAACAATTCGTTTGAGCTCTAGTATTTTTTCTGACCATATTTGATATTATCCCCGCCCGCCTTCTTCATCTCAGCTCGATCGGGTAAATATTTCTGCGAAAAAGCGTTGCGGCGAGATCGGCTGTTTCGAGTCATCTTGATACGCGTTGTCGGTATTTTGTACTTAGCTCGAGCTCTAGGGCAGCTGCATAGCTTATTCTCGGAGAAATCGATTGCGAATCATCAGGCGCGTTCGTCTGTTTCATCTAGAGGTCTGAACTCGGTCTGCTGCCCGAGCTAGGTTCGCGAAACTGTTCGTATCGTTCGAGTCATCTTGAGAGGTGCTGTCAGTTTTCTGCACTGAACTCGGGCTGTAGGGGGGCTACAGGGCTTGTGCTCAGATGAATCGATTCGGAGATATCAGGCGCGTCCGCCTGCCAAATCCAGAGCTCAGAACTCGGTTTGCTGCCTGAGCTAGGTCTGCCAAACTGTTCGTATTCTTCGAGGCATCTTCAGAGATGCTGTTTGTTTTCTGCCTTTAACTCGAGCTGAAATGCGGCTGCAGAGCTGGTAATCACAGGAATCGATTCGGAGACATCAGTAGCGTCCGTCTGTCGCATTCAGAGCTCTGAACTCGGTCTGCTGCGCGAGCTAGGTCCGAAACTATTCGTATTCTTCGAGACATCTTAAGAGGTGCTGTCGGTTTTCTGCACTTAACGGGCTCTAAGGGAGCTGTAGGGTTGGTAATAACAGGAATCGATTCGGAGACATCAGGCGCGTCCGCCTGTTGCATTGAGAGGTCTGAGCTCGGTCTCATACTCGAGCTAGATTCGCGAAACTATTTCTATTGTTCGAGTCATCTGGAGAGCTGCTGTCGATTTTTGCACGTAACTCGGGCTGCAGGAGAGCTACGGAGCTCGTGCGCACAGAAAACGATCCAGAAGCATGAGGGGCGTTCGGCTGTTGCATCGAGAGGTCTGAAATTGCTTAGGCTGAAAAACTATTTGTTCTCTGCAATTTTTTGGACATTGTATATAGTCAGGAAGCTTTATGAGTCCCCCGGCGGTAAGAAAGGTTGACGGTTTACCGCCGGCGCCCAGTTGGCAAGACAAATTTCGACGGACCTTTTGATGACTTTGGGTCGGTTGAAAATAGCTCGTAGAGCTCTTCGTTATTGATGAGCTAGAGGAATACCTCGTAGAGCTCTTCCGCATCGATGAGCTAGAGGAATTCCGGCGCGGGGTGGAGCTAGTTGGCCGACCCGACGAAAAGAGACAATGTGGTGACTTTGGGTCGGTTTTGCTAAGATCATGCATTTATAAATATTTGATAATTCATGATGAGAAACCAGATTTTTCGCACCTGTAAACGACTCTGAGGGCCTCTGCGTCTTAATATGAGCTCTGTAGGCGCACATTTACTATCAAAACACTTGGGGGAACCAACTTCATGTCGACATGAAAAAAAATGGATGTTCATTTTTTCGAGAAATGCCTCCAGAAGCTCTCTCTCACGACTCTGAGCTCTCTCACGCGTGAAAAGAGCTCTACGAGGTTCCCGGCGGTGACCAGGTTGACGGTTCACCGCCGGCGCCAGTTTTTTCTTTTCGAAATTCAACAATTCGTTTGGGCTCTAGTATTTTTTCCCATGATATTCGATCTTATTCCCGCGCGCCATCTTGATCTCAGCTCGATCGGGTAGCTTTTACCGCCAAAAAGCAGGCAGGCGGGATCGGCCGTTTCAAGTCATCTTGACACGCGATAACGGTTTTCTGAACATAACTCGATCTTTAGGACAGCTACAGAGCTGGTAAGCATAGCTAATCGATTCGGAATGAGCAGACGCGTTCGCCTGTTGAATCGAGAGGTCTCAATTCCGCCTGCTAGCCGAGCTAGGTCCGCCAACCTATTCGTATTATTCGAGTCATCTTGACACGCGCTCTCGGTTTTCTGAACTTAACTCGAGCTATATCCCAGCTACAGAGCTGATACTTACAGAAACTGATTCAGAATGATCAGTCGCGTTCGTTCGTCGAATCCAGAGCTCTGAACTCGGTCTGCTGCCCGATCTAGAATTGCAAAACTATTCGTATTGTTCGAGTCATCTTCAGAAGTGGTCTCGGTTTTCTGCACTCAACTCCTGAGGGGGGCTACAGTGCTCGTGGTCAGAGGAATCGATTCGAAGACATCAGGCGCGTCTGCCTGTCGAATCCAGAGCTCGGAACTCGGTCTGCTAGGATCGCGAAACTATCGTATTGTTCGAGTCATCGAGTCATTCTGAGAGGTGCTGTCGGTTTTCTGCACTTAACTCGGGCTGGGCTGGTAATCAGAGGAGTGGATTCGCAGCTTCAGAGCTCGTAAAGAAGACAATCCAGAAGCATCGGGAGCGTTCGGCTGTTGCATCGAGAGGTCTGAAATCGCTTTGGCTGAAAAACTATTCGTTCTCTGCAATTTTTTCCACATTATATATTGTCAGGAAGCTCTACGAGTCCCCCGGCGGTAAGAAAGGTTGACGGTTTACCGCCGGCGCCCAGTTCCGGCGCGGGCTGGAGCTAGTTGGCCGATCCGACTAGAAAGGACAATGTACCTCGTAGAGCTATCATGGTATGAGAGCAAGAGGAATTCGGCGACAGAGTGGAGCTAGTTGGCGAAATTTCGAAAAGGGACGCGATCATGACATCCGCGGCCTGGCTCAACCGATTTTGCAGCTCTAACAATTCGTTTGAGCTGATAGTTGCGCAGAGCGAAACTTTGCATCACAGAAGTTGCCTCTCAAATTCTTGGCTGATTCCGTCGAGAAATTCTTCTGAGCGAAGCCAGGAACCTGACCTCAGATTGACATAGAAAATTGAAAATTCAAGATTAGAAGAAAATCTACTGCGAAGTTCTCTGCTTCGATGCTGGGCACTCTTACGCGTGAAAGGAGCTCTACGAGGTTCCCGGCGGTGACCAGGTTGGCGGTTCACCGCCGGCGCCAGGTGGCAACTTTGGGTGGGTTCTGCAACTTTTGGAAAGATATTTGACAATTCATTTCGAGAAAGCAGATTACCTCGTAGAGCTCTTCGGCATCGATGAGCTAGAGGAATTCCGGCGCGGGGTGGAGCTAGTTCGGCGACCCGACCAAAAGAGACAATGTGTCAACTTTGGGTCGGTTTTGCGAATATTTGAAAGATATTTGACAATTCATTTCGAGAACGGGTATTTTTCCCACGTATAGAGGGTTATGCCGCGTTTGCCAGTTGAGTTCTCAGGTCTGTAGGTGCAATATTACTATCAAAAGACTTGCTGGAACCGACTTTGTATGAAAACCAACAAATCGTGTTTTTTTTTCAAGTTTTTCTGCTCTCGCTTCAGAAGCTTCCTTCATGTTTTCCGAGGAGCGCTGTGCAACAAAAGAGCTCTACGAGGTGCCCGGCGGTAGCCTGGTTGACGGTTTACCGCCGGTTCCCAGTGCTCTCCCGGTGTTGGGCGCTACCAAGTACCTCGTAGAGCTCTTCGGCATCGATGAGCTAGAGGAATTCCGGCGCGGGTTGGAGCTAGTTGGACTACCCGACCAGAAGCGACAATGTGGCAACTTTGGGTCGGTTTTGCTGGTATTTGAAAAATATTTGACCATTTATTTCGAGAGACCAGATTTTTACGCCGAGCGTTGGCATATAAAATTCGTCCCCAGAGCAGCTCAGCTCTCTAGAGCCAGTGTTACTATCGAAATTAGGAGGAACCGACATCAAGTTGACAACCAAAAATAAAAATTCGACGTTTTTCTAGAAATGCTCCAATGCGCTGTCTGCTTCCAATCTGAGCACTCTTACGCGCGCAAAGAGCTCTACGAGGTTCCCGGCGGTGACCAGGTTGACGGTTCACCGCCGGCGCCATTGCAATCTTTGTGCAAAATTTTCAAGTTCGTTTTGGGAATCCGTATTTTCCTCACCTGTGGTGTGTGCCGCGTCTGCCAGTCAAATTCTCAGATCCGTAGCTGCAATATTACTATCGAAAGTCTTGGGAACCGTCGGCCGTTTGGAGCATCTTGACACGCGTTGACGGTTTTCTGTATTTCTCAAGACTCAGGAGAGATACAGAGCTGACACTTACAAACCGATTCAGAATCATAAGGCGCGTTTGTCTGTTCCATCGAGAGGTCTGAACTCGGTCTGCTACTCGAGCTATATCCGCGAAACTATTCGTATTGTACGAGTGGACCCGACCAGAAAGGAGGAAGTGATAACTTAACTTGTGAAGCTTCCCTTGTTGTTGCTGATTTGAAAATTCATTTTGGGAACCGTTTTTTTTTTTTTTTTTTTTTTTTTTTTTTTTTTTTTTTTTTTTTTTTTTTTTTTTTTTTTTTTTTTTTTTTTTTTTTTTTAAAAAAAAAAAAAAAAAAAAATATATATATATATATATATACATATATATCACGTTTTGGGTCATGCCGCGGCTGCGAGTTAAATTATCAGGTCCGTAGTTGCAATATTACTATCAAAACACTTGCTGGAACCGACGGCCGTTTCGAGTCATCTTGACACATATCGACAGTTTTCTGTACTTATCTCGAGATTTAGGACAGCAACAGAGCTGACAGTTATCGAAACTGGTTCGAAAACATGAGGCGCGTTTTCTCTCCCATCTGAACTCGGTCTGCTGCTCGGGCTAGGTCCGCAAACCTATTCGTATTCTTCGAAGGATTTTGACGAGTGCTGTCGGTTTTCTGTACTGAACTCACGATTCAGAATATCTAAAGAGCTGTGCGCAGATGAGAGGGTTCTGTATCATCAGGCGCGTGCGTCTGTTGCATGGAGCGGTCTGAACTCGGTGTGCTATCCGAGCTAGGTCCACAAAACTATTTGTATTCTTGAAGTTCTCTTTGCAGGCGCTGTCGGTCTTCTGTACTTAACTGAAGCTGTAGAGTTGCAGAGCTGGTACGCGCCCAAACCGATGCACAAGCATCAGGGGCGTTCTGCTGAAGCATGCAGAGCTCTGAGCACAGTCTGCTACCCGAGCTAGATCTGCAAACTATTTGCATTGGGCCGATTTTTTTGGAACTGATGGTGATTTTTCCACTTAACTCGAGCTACAGATGAGTTTGAGAGCTCCTTCGCACAGAAATCTTGAACAAAACTCCCTTCCTGTGTACCGGGCAGCCCCGCACGAGAAAAGAGCTCTGCGAGGCTCCCATTTGTAACCTGCTTAACGGTTTACCGCCGGCTCCCATGATTCCGGGGCGCTGGAGAGGTAGTTGGCAAGAAAAATCTCGACGGACCTTTTGGTGACTTTTTGGTCGGATGAAAATTTTGTTCTCGAAATTCCTCAATTCGTTTGAGCTCCAGTATTTTTTCCCGTGATATTCGATCCCGCTCGCCGTCTTAATCTCAGCTCGTTCGGATACCTTTTACTGCCAAAAAGCACACGGGCGGGATCGGCCGTTCCGAGTCATCTTCATGCACTGTCGGTATATTGGACTTAAGTCGACATACGGGACAGCTACAGAGCTGGTAAGCACACCAAATCGATTCAGAATGATAGGGTGAGCTGCGTGGCTGGTAATCACAGGAATCGATTTGAAGACATCAGGCGCGTCAGCCTGTCGCATTCAGAGATCTGAACTCGGTCTGATACTCGAGCCAGGTTTGCCAAACTATTCGTATTGTTCGAGTCATCTTGAGAGGTGCTGTCGATTTACGCACGTAACTTGGGCTGTAGGAGAGCTACAGAGCTCGTACAGAAGACAATCCAGAAACATCGGGGCGTTCGGCCGTTGCATCGAGAGGTCTGAAATCGCTTGGCCTGAACAACTATCAGTTTTTTTAGACATTATATATTCTGAGGAAGCTCTACGAGTCCCCCGGCGGTAAGAAAGGTTGACGGTTTACCGCCGGCGCCCAGTTTGGGTGGTTTTGCGAATATTTGAAAGATATTTCACCATTTCTTTTGAGAAAGCAGATTTTTCGCACCTGTGCAGACTATGAGGGCCTCTGTATCTTAATATGAGCTCCGTAGGCGCACTTTTGCTATCAAAACACTTGGCGGAACCATTATCACGTCGACATAAAAAAATATTTTTCCCCTTTTCGAGAAATGCTTCGACAAGCTCTCTCTTTCGATTCTGAGCACTCTCGCGTGCGGAAGGAGCTCTACGAGGTTCCCGGCGACCCGGCCCAGGCGGACAAAGTGGTGACTTTGGGTCGGTTTGTCAAGATTTGAAAGATATTTGATTATTTATTTTGAGAAAGCAGATTTTTGCGCTAAGCAGACGCATATAAACTTCATTGTGGGAGCAGTTCAGCTCCGCTGATGCACTGTATTATGAGTTGACTTCCGGGAACCGAGCTATTATGAATATCGAAAAATCGAAAAATTAAGATTTCAAGAAAATCGTAATTTTTTACTCTACTTCGATCCTGAGCTCTCATACTCGTGCAATGAGCTCTACGAGGTTCCCGGCGGTGACCAGGTTGACGGTTCGCCGCCGGCGCCAGTTCTCCCTTCCCGACGGTTTCTTTTCCCGGAGAGCTCTCTGAGAGCCACGGGGTTTTAGATTAGAAGCCGGACGGTGGTGGTGCCCGCCAGCAGCCCATCTCCGCCGCTCCACGATCCCCAGAGAGAGTTGCCGGGCCACGTGCGGGCACGCACGGAAGCGTTCCTGGTAGCGCGTGAGAAGCGCTGCGGGGGAGCCCCACCGAGCTCCAGAAGCGCTTCACGCGGCATCCGGTGTGTGTTCTCTTTGCCCTCCGGAGAGGAATACCTCGTAGAGCTCTTCGGCAAGATGAGCTAAGAGGAATTCGGGCGCAGGGTGGAGCTAGTTGGCCGACCCGACCTCAAGAGACAATGTGGTGACCTGGGGTCGGTTTTTAAATCTTTCTGCAAAATTTGAAAGCTCGTTTTCAGAACTAGTATTTTTTCGCTACGTGTAGTACATCGTAGAGCTCTTCGGCATCGATGAGCTAGAGGAATTCCGGCGCGGGGTGAAGCTAGTTGGTCGAGCCGACCAGAAAGGGCAAAGTGGCAACTTTTGGGTGGTTTTACGAATATTTGAAAGATATTTGACCATTTATTTTGAGAAAGCAGATTTTCCGCAGCTGTAAACGACTATGAGGGCCCCTCCGTCTTAATATGAGCTCTGTAGGCGCAGTTTTACTATCAAAACACTTGGCGGAACCATCTTTATTTCGACATGAAAAACATCAATTTTGCCTTTTGCGAGAAATGCCTCCAGAAGCTCTCTCTTTCGACGCTGAGCACTCTCGCGCGTGAAAGGAGCTCCGAGGTTCCTGGCGGTGACCAGGTTGTCGCTGTTCCTCCTCGGGGATCTCAGCGGTGGCCTGGCCCGTCGGGGGCCTCCTCAAGCCTGTCTCCTCAGGCTGCCCCCTGGGCGGCCGTGTGCGCGCGGGCGGGCCGTGCGATGGCGGCTTGAGCACCTCTTGTCTCTGCAGTGGGTGGAGTCAGATTTGTTGTGTGAGTACCCCTTGCTGTGTGGTGCCATGACAACGCAATTTTGTACCTCGTCGACTTCTACTTTGTATGCCATCTCCTATCCCGTTTCTTCTTCCCCATCCTCGTCGTGGCGGCGGAGAGCGAGAAGGCTGAGACTCGCCATGTTTCGACAAGCCCTCTTTGACATCCATACTCTGCAGTGCGTTCCAGTGGGGATGCAGTCTCCAGAGGTGGTGCAGTCTCCAGCCGTGGTGCAATTTCCAGAGATCCGTGTGCTAGAGGCTCTGGGTGTGATGACTGAGTCTTTCGACGGAGTCGCTAAACCCGATGGGCCAACTGATCGTGGGAAAGCTTTCTCGTCCTATTCTGTTGCTTGTTCTCGAGATCCGGTGCAGTCTCCAGATGGTGTGCTGGGTTCTGTTTCTTTTCTTCCTGGTGTTCAGAATGAGGAGTTGCAGGGCGAGGAGTTGCAGAATGAGGATTTGCAGAGTGAGGAGGTGCTGAATGAGCAGTTGCATTTTTCTCAGCATACTGTTTCTTTTGATTCCAGCTCTGAAGTTTGCCACGCCTCATCTCCGGACGCTCCGTCGGATTGTCTTGGGAAGGCTGGGCAGGAAGATCTTAAGGTGTGGAAGGAGGTGGAGGAGTCTCCTGATGCGGTGCAGCCTCGAGATGTGCTACAGTCTTCGGAGGGTGTGCTGCAGTCGATACTGGTTTCTGTCTCTATTGACCCTGCGGTTCTGAATGAAGATTGGCAGGAAAATCTTAAGAAGGTGATGGGCGATGAGGTCGAGCATGCTCAGCCTGTTTCTGCGGTTGACTGGAGCTCTTCAGTAACTAACAACAACAAAAACTCGGAAGTGGTTTCTGTTTCTGTTGATCCAGGTGTTCTGAGAGAGGAGTTGCATGATGAGGAGTTGCAGGGTGAGGAGTTGCAGAATGAGGAGTTGCGGAATGAGCAGTTGCATGGTTCTCATTATAAAGATTCTATGACTTCACACCCTGGGAGTTCAACGACTGGGAGTTTATCTAATGCAGTTGTGAGTTCAGCAGTGACGGAGGACGAGTGTCAAGCTGCCAGGGACTGGGCCCTTGCCGGTGTCGATGTCAGTGCTCTTTGGCGTGAGCTACACCGACACCCGAGACAGGAGTTTCAGCGTAGGACTGAGGCTCTTCATGCATACAGGCTGCAATTGGGAATTGAAAGTTCCGAGGAGGATGATTCGCAACAAGGGGGTCCTAAGAGTTCTACTTCCACGAGTGCATTGACGCGGAGCGGCAAGAAGCATCGGAAACGGCACAGATGATGCACATGTGATTGATCCTGCACGCTTGATTTGTCATTGCGTTGCCTTTCTTCATGCGTGTGTGTGTTGTCGTGCATGCCTGTGTGTTGAAAAAGAGCTTCGCTTGATCCCTCAAAGTAGGTCATTCGTTGCTTCCTTGATTTGAGTGCTCATTGACCTTTGAACGTGACTTTCCGTGATTTGTCACGTGGTGCCTCAAAGTAGGCCTTTGATCTTATGTGCATTCTGACTTTTAATCTCTTGTGCATTCTCAGTGGTGTTGAGACGGTAATCGCTGTATAAACCAGTGGTTACTGTATGGTCTCTCACTGCTTCTCGTGTGGTCGCTGTATAAACCGGTGGTTACTGCGTTTCACTGTTTTAGTGCTATATTCTTGTGTATGGGCAGTCTTGTGCATATCTGTACAGCCTCGCTGTTTGATGCACCTCTGCTTTAATCTTTGCAGCTTCGCTGTCTTCCTGTACAGCTTCGCTGTTTAGGTTCTTTGTGTTTAGGCCTGCTCCCATGGGAGCTCGAACCGGCCTTCGCAAAATACGCAAAAGACCAAATTGACGGCTCACCGCCGGCGCCAGTTTTGTTCTCGAAATTCAACAATTCGTTTGAGCTCTAGTATTTTTTCCCACCATATTAGATCCTATTTCCGCTCGCCGTCCTAATCTCAGCTCGATCGGGTATTTTTTACTGCCAAAAAGCGTTGCGGCGGGATCGGCCGTTTCGAGTCATATTGACGGACGCTGATGGTTTTCTGAACTTAACTCGAGCTGTAGGACAGCTACAGAGCTTAGACTTACAGAAATTAATTCAGAATCTTCAGGCGCGTTCGTCTGTTGCATCCAGAGGTCTGAACTCGGGCTGCTGCTCGATCTAGGTCCGCGAAACTATTCGTATTGATCGAGTTATCTTGAAAGGTGCTGTCGGTTTTCTGTATTTACTACTGGCGCCGGCGGTGAACCGTCAACCTGGTCACCGCCGGAAGCCTCGTAGAGCTCCTTGCACGAATCGTATTGCTCAGAATCGAAAGAGAGAGCTTCTGGAAGCATTTCTCGAACAAATCAATATTCATATTTGTCATGTCGACGTGAAGCTGGTTTCGCCAAGTGTTTTGATAGTAAAACTGTGCCTACAGAGCTCATATTAAGACGCAGAGGCTCTCATAGTCGTCTACAGGTGCGAAAAATATGTTTTCTTAAATTGAATTTTCAAGTATCTTTCAAGTCTTAGCAAAACCGTCCAAAAATTATCACATCTTCTTTTCTGGCCGGGTCGACCAACTAGCTCAACCCCGCGCCGGAATTCCTCTAGCTCATCGATAACGAAGAGCTCTACGAGGTACTCGGGCTGTAGGATGGTTACAGGGCTGGTATTTACAGAAATTTATTCGGAGACATCAGGCGCGTTGGTCTGTCGCATGCAGAGGTCTGAAATCGGTCTGCTACTCGAGTTAGGTCCGTGAAGCTATTCGTATTGCTCAAATTATCTCTATAGGTACTGTCGTTTTTTTTTGTTTTTTTTTTTTGGGGGGGGGAAAACTAGTGCTTGTAATTATTTAGTTTATATATATATAACAAAAAAAAAGAGCTCTAGGGAAGCTACAGAGCTGATGCGCACAGAAACCGCTGCAGCATAATAGGCGCGTTCGTCTGTTGCATCCAGAGGTCTGAACTCGGTCTACTACTCGAGCTATGTCCGCCAAACTACTTGTATCGTTCGAGTCCTCTTGAGAGATGCTGTCCGTTTTCGCACTAACTCGGGCTGTAGGAGAGCTAGAGAGCTCATAAGCACAGAAACCGATCTGGAATCATCAGGCCCGTTCGTCTGTTGCATCTAAAGGTCTGAACTGGGTCTGCTACTCGGGCAAGGTCCGGAAAACTATTTCTCTACTTCGAGTCATCTTGGCGCTATTTTCTCCCGAATGGTATTTTCTACACGCGGCAGATGAGCTATGGAACTGCTCAGCACCAGTGGGATATCACTAGACGCCTGAGATCAGTCTGCTATTAGCGCCCCCGCTGAAAAAAACTATTCGTTATCTGCTTATTCTTGGGACATACCATATGGTCAGGAAGCTCTACGAGTCCCCCGGCGGTAAGAAAGGTTGACTCAAGAACGTCTCGGCTCAAGAACGTCTCGGCTCAAGAACGTCTCTGCCTGGGTAACCTCCAGACGTTCTAGCGAGCCCTCGCCTCGGGGTGTGTGCCTGGGCGCGCCTGGGTTCCCCCGAGGTTTTTGTCTGCTTACACTACATCTCGTGTATTGTACGCTGAATTCTTCTTCGTGGTATTGAGATAATTTCTGGTGTGCTGCACTGCTGTCTATTGTCTGTCTGCATATATTATCTCTTATTGAATGAGTGGCAGTTTCTTGTGTGCTGGATCGTTGTTGACACAACGTCGTACGACAGCCCTGCGGCCCAGCTGGCCTTGAGGAGAGAGATCGGTCTCGAACATTGGGGTGAAAGTACTGAGGAGTGGTTTCGTCGTCCAAAGAATCTGGACATACCCACTGAGGATTACCAGGACGATAGGGTCAACTTCGAGTACCTTGAGGAATACCAACCGTGGGATCAGAAAGACTTGCAGGCACTGGAGGCAGCATCAAACAAGCGTCAACGTGAGGACGGTAAGAATTTGTTAGATAAATACGGATTGAACGGTAACATTCTTGAGAATATGACTCATGTTGCTGCAGCGGCGGATGCCGAAATGACGTTAGAGAGTGAGATTCGATCTGAACGTGCACGTGGCCCAGAGATAGAGGAGGAGAGGAAATTGATGTTAGCGCAGGAGAAGGATCCTTTCAAACAGATGATGATGAAGCATGTTTGGAAAACGGAGGATGCACATGAGGATCTCATCCATGTTGTTCAATCGACGAAGACGGACATTAAAAGAGTTGATGACGCACTTAAGTTGCATACGGAGCGCATGGACAAATCAGATGCACGGACAGATATTCTGGAGAAACAGGTTAAGCAAATTTTGGCTGGATCTCCTGCTGCATCGGTTTCGACTAGTGTGGGCCCTGGCGGGTCCTCTGGTGGAGGTGTAGGTACGGTCCCTCGCGTGCAACAAGGGCGATCGAGCCAGTTTACACCAACTTATCTTGAACTCAAAGGGTGGGTTACAGATTGGTCGATTCAAGTAAATCGGGGAAATCAAATGATACCCTGGGCGGATGCGTCACAGCTTATATCGAATATGATTGGAACACTTGAGGGGGAGGAAAGGATTGCTTACGACAGAGATAAAACTGAACGATTAAACGGATGAAGATATATGTACGGAAATGTGAATGTCGGTTTCAAAGAAGGGACAGCACGGGACACTCTTTGGATAATAAAGAAATGGATGGATATGGTCTGTAAGAAACCAGCCGATCGTATTGCTCCGCCTCCAGGTTATACATATCCAAATGCCGATGTTCTCATTCAAGATATGGACACGCCTATCGATCCCAGAAAGATTCGTACGCTAGTGGAATGTGCACCCTGGAAGCGTGATCATGTGAAAGCGGTTGCTCGTTTCTGTGGGACTTGGCGAAGTATGACATCGGCTCATGTTCAAATCGAGATCCGTGGGGAGGTGGGGCCACCGAGGAGTCAGATGTGGACTCAAGCTGTTCCAAATCTCCGACCCGTCTGTTTTGCGACGTATACGAACACCACAGGGGCTTGGGTTCTTCATGCTGATGCATGGGCTCGTATTGTTTCTATTTATCCTGCGCTGACGGTCCCCATGGATGAGATACTTCAGGAAGTGAGTCGCAGGCAGTGACGTTTGCGGCGCCTCGTCCGAGGCATACGTTTGGCGAGCTGGAACCTGAACAAAGCAGGTGAGGCTCATTTTAAATGTGCTGATATTCTCCATCATATGAGGGCATGTGGTGGGCTCTTTGCATGTCAGGGAACTCAATACCTTGTGCATGGTGAATTTGAACGCTTGGGGTGGCGCATCAAAACTGGTTCGTGTAGCAAGGCAGCTCTCATCTTCGACAGATATTGGGCGGCTGCCGTCCGCATGTTCTTTACTTGTTTCAGGAGGTTCGTTATCGGCGTCTTTGGGTCAGAAAAGTCACCACTTATTATTGTGTCAGCGTATTTGCCAGACCCTCATGTGGAGGATTGTGTAGAGATAGCTGCGGAGGCTATGAGCAGATCAGTCGTGCTCGTAATGTTCTTCGCAGTAAGTTTCCTCGGGCCAGCTTTTGTGTTCTGCTCGATGCAAATGTGGAGATTCCGCCTGGATGCAAGTTTACGTATAATGGGGAGGAGTATGGGGCTACTGGAGAGGAGGGTACTCGTACGGACAGAAGGTGGGAGAGAGGAGGAGACGGTACACAGCAGATTGAGAGGAGGAGTCGGAGGAGGAGGCTGAAGGAGCTGCTCTTAGAGTTCATGGAATCACATGGACTGAAGGCCGCCAACACTTTCAGTACTAGGAGGCATACCTGGGAGTCGTGGGGGGAGAACAAGTTTCTGACTTCGAAGAGGGTCCTGGATTACCTACTGGTCCTTCATCGTTGGGAGTTCTCGGATCTGGAGGTGAAGCGGTGTTTCAAGAGGGGTGGGAAGAAGCAGTTCAGTAGATTATCCGATCACGCTATCATCGCGGCGAGTTTCACTGACCCTGGGAATGTGATTGTTCGTCGCCCTGACCCCCAGCCTGGTCAGAAGTCTTGGCCGTCCCTGGTCGGATACAAGTGTTCGACTTGGGCTGATGAGCATCAGGCTCGGCAGCATGTGGATTTGAATCTAGGCGGTGCGGCCTTCGCTCGTTCAAGGTGTCCGTCTGTGACCTGTCCACAGTGTTTGCAGAGTACGATGCTGGAGGCGAACTTATCACCGACGGTGGACTACTCCACCACGGGTGCGAGAAGACCAAGAGAGCCGTCCAGGCCGGTGCAGCTCACTAGAGCCGAGGAGGAGGTTAAGATGTGTCCGAAGGAGGATGTGGAGAGGTTGAGGAGGTTAAAGAATGAGGCCAATCGTCTACGCAGAAGTTATCG